TATCGCAGAAAGACCTCCTGCCCGACCACCGTACCCGACAAATCTGGGGATAGCAGCCATATCCCTCGTCAGACAGCGTCGTGCCTGCCACCTTTAGAGGGTGCCTCACACCCGACAGGCACGTACCCTGCGATGACGGCCCCGCGCATGCCACCTCAGCCCCTACCAGTAACGGATGCGGTAGGCTGACAGTGGCGGTTATACCTGCCCTGTCAGAGGCTAGTGGGCCGAATGCAACGGATTTCTGTTATAAGGAGCTAGTATCAAGGAACGGAGGTATCATCTTCTACTCTCGTGCTATCTGCACTCTTAACTTTCATCTTCTCCCTGCTTCTCCTGTAGAATACTAACTTAAGCATCGGAGTGTTCTCGTTGGGCAAGCCCCCAGGGATTCTTCTTCTTCTCCATCTCAGGGACCTTCCAGGAGCTACGTAAGTGCCAGATAGGAGTGACCGGATCGCGCACCATCATTTGGCGTCGTCTGTGGGAATACGCTTCTAAAAGCCTTCCTCTAAACCTTCACAGTTTTTTCTTCTCTGAAAACTCGGCACTCATGGCTTCCTCAAGCAACGTTGGACGAAGCATGGAGATGGGTAACTCCAAGGAACAACCCCAGGTTCCCACGGTCAGCATTCGGCAGTTCACCATTCCCCTCTCAGTGGACGGAGTCCCCAGCCTGAACATGTCGCGAGCTACGGCGCCTGTGGGTGTTCCCCTACCTTCCTCGGTCGAAACGACCTTTACTGAACCAACTATCATTCCTCTGGCGACTAGCCAGAGCCAGCTCGATGATCTGATGCAATGTATGCGGACCATGCAAGCCCAAGTGCAGCAACTCCAGCAACACCAGATTTACTAGCAGCAAGTGTTGCACCAAGTCTCCCAGTATCACTACCAGCAGCAATTCCCCCAGCTGCCTCAACCCCAGCTTCAGCAGCCGTAGCTCCCTCCTCGGCACCTAGCCTCAAAGCGAGCTAGGTCTCGCCGCCAGAACGAACGCCCCTCTAGCCAAGGAGAAGCCTCTCGAAACCCGCCTAAGAGCCAAGCCTCCTCTGGCGACAGACAAGAAAGACCGGCCACCCCGGCCTCGCCACGGGCGGTCAGGTCGGAACCCCAGCTCGCCAGGTCTACGTCACCTCGGCTGTCAAAGTTTGAAGCCCCAATCCTGGAGAACTGGTTCGAGATCCTGGCTCAGACTCCAAGCAGGATCCCTCTGTCCGCAGCCATCACCAGCGGCCTGAGCTACTTCCTGCGCAAACCATTCCTAACAGTATGGAGGTGAGCAGCACAAAAGTGGAGCCCGCCAAGAAGCAGAGACGCCGCCGCCGAGCTCGTCGGTCTGTCTCCCACAACCTGCCCGAGCTCGAAGGCAAAGAAGAGGTAAGCTTGGGTGAAGTCAAGGCTCCCCTCCTTTCAGTTCCGTCGCCCCTGTCTTCCGAACTCCTGGCAGTCCCAATGCCTAAAGACTTCAAGCTCCCCCCTCTTGACAAGTATGACGGGTCGTTCCACCCAAATGATCACGTAGATGCCTTCCAGTCGCAAATGCACCTGGCAAGAGCCAGTGAGTCGTGCATGTGTGTGGCCTTCTCCACCACTTTCAGAGGAGTAGCCCGTACATGGTACCGGAACCTGGCACCTGGATCGATAAGAAGTTGGGCGTAGTTCGCGCAAGCCTTCACGTCCCACTTCGTCACCAGCAAGCGGTGCCCGCGAACTGAAGAAAGCCTCCTCAACATAGTGCAGAGAAAGGGAGAGTCCATCCAGGGCTATATCAAGCGGTTCAACGATGCGTGCATGCAGATACCACGCCTGGACCCCATCGTGCGCCTCGCAGCGGCCAAGAAAGGCGTGACGCATAAAGATTTCAAATGGCACATGGTCGTCAACCAATCGGCTACCATAACCGAGTTTCTTAAGCTCGCGGACAGGTTTATAGCCACGGAGGAAGAGATCAACCAGAAGGGCGAGGGCACGCCAGAGAAGAGGAAAAGGGAAGGAGAGCCTTCCAGCCAAGGGGACAGTCAAAAGAAAAAAGATGCAGCTCAGGGGGTAAAGCCGGGTCAGTCGTTCCGAGCTCCTGTAGCGGACCGAACTGATGCACCCCACTGAACGCGAAACAGGCCGAAATCCTGATGGCGATCAAGGACACCCCGTATGTGAAGTGGCCACCCCGTTTGAGGGGGAATCCCAATGAGAGAAATAAGAATATGTACTGCAGTTTTCACAAAGATCACGGTCACAGTACTGAGAGTTGTAAAAACCTTCGCGGCGAGATTGAGGAGCTCATCCGTCGCGGATATTTAAGGAACTTTGTACAAAATAATAATAATAATAATAATAATAATAATAATAATAATAATAATAATAATAATAATAATAATAAGATAGGTCAGCAAGGGGAGCATGGTAAGGATGCTCCCGAGTCGAACAGCAGGCCGGCCGAACAATCACAGAGGCAGCCTCCAAAAGAGAGGCCGGTTCGGGGCACCATCCACGTGATAGTGGGAGGCTCGATCGTTGCGGGTTGTACTTCAGCAGTAGCTCGAACGTCAGTTCGTGAAGCTGCTAGGGAAGAACAGAATCCTCCGAAGCGGTCGAGGACAGAAGAGCCAATTTTCTTCACGGAGGATGATGCGCGAGGGGTCCACTACCCTCACGACGATGCGCTTGTGATAAAGCTGAGGATCAACAACTTCGAGGTCAGGCGCATACTCGTTGACTCAGGCAGCTCAGCGGATATTCTCTTCAAAGCCGCGTTCGACCAGCTTCAGTTGCAGGGAAGCGACTTGAAGCCCGCAAACACTCCTTTGGTGGGCTTCAGCGGAGAAGAAGTAAGGCCCCTTGGGAAAGTGACAGTACCTGTGGAAGTCGGCACATGACCCTGCGTGGTCAGACTCAACACGACTTCCTAGTGGTCGCAACCACCTCCCCATACAACGCCATAATAGGTCGGCCGATCACCCATGTCCTACGAGTGGTGGTCTCCACTTATCATTTGGCAATGAAGTTCCCTACAGACTTTGGTGTGGGGGTAGCACGGGGCGACCAGCTCGAGTTCCGCAAGTGCTATGTCGTCGCGCTAAAGGGAAAGACCAAGGTGGCCGACGACATCGAACTGGAGCGGCCAACAGAGCAAGGCGAAGAACAAGTTGCACCCACGGAAGAAACAGTCGTTGTTCCGACCTCAGCCGTAGACCCAGCTCGAATGCTTCAAATCGGTGCTTCCGTCCAGGAACCTCTACGATCCGAATTGGTAAATTTCTTACTTCAAAATTTAGATATTTTTGCATGGTCCACGGCAGAGATGCCCGGTATAGACCCCGACCTTATAACTCACAAGCTGAATACTGATCCTATAGTTAGGCCCGCTAGACAGAAGAAATGCAACCTAGCCCCGGAGCAGTGGAAAACAGTTGACGATGAGGTTTAGAAGCTCCTCGCAACTGACTTCATAAGAGAAGTCCATTACCCGAGCTAGGTAGTCAACCCCGTTCTGGTAAAGAAGGCTAACAGCAAGTGGCGCATGTGCGTCGACTACACCGACCTAAACAGAGCCTGCCCAAAAGACTGCTTCCCGCTCCCCATAATTGACCATTTGGTGGATGCAACCTCAGAGCACGAGTTGCTGAGTTTCTTAGATGCCTATTCGGGCTATAACCAAATCAAGATGGACCCAGCGGACGAAGAAAAGACTGCCTTCATCACGGAGTTCGGTCTATACTGTAACAAGGTTATGCCCTTCGGGTTGAAAAACGTAGGGGCAACCTTTCAAAGGCTTGTAAATAAGTTGTTTGCGCCATTAATTGGCAGGAAAGTAGAATGCTATGTAGACGACATGGTCGTCAAAACTCAATTTTCGCATGAATTAATACAAGACTTGCATTCTGTTTTTGAAATTTTGCATAAATTTAATATGAGATTGAACCCAAACAAGTGTGTATTCGGTGTGACCTCGGGAAAATTCCTAGGATACATCGTTAACCGGTGCGACATT